CATTGTACACACATGTGCAAATTTGCATACGTATCGCTACACGTATGTCAAGCTGTAGCGTGAGCGCATGTATATTTACATACGTGATGTCATTTGCCCGGGAGACAGTTATATGTCCATAAAGAGTAGATACACAAGCCATACAGTATACAACAATAGATTCCTTCTTTCTGACATGAACAAGTGAGCAAACCCAGTCTTCTTTTGAAGTTTATTTCGCGATGATCTCTTTATACCTGCCTTTATTTTCAGCTGCCATCTCGCCAAGCCTATGTTCCTTCTTGCTCATCATGAATAGTTTCTTATTCGATAAGTAGATACTTGGGAGGTACAAAGCATGTAAGGTAACATAGTTTCTTCCGTCTCCCATAGAAAAGCGGGCGGTAGCATAGCGGTTAAAACGTCCGCTCGTTTTGCCAAAGACACGGGTTCATTCGGGCCAGCTGGGGTAGCAAAGCGGGGAATTGAGTTAAACATTTTGTGTATTAGGTAGTTATAAACTAAAACAGTATTATGCTTAAAACAGTATTCATGAGGGAAATGAGAATATTTATACGGAATATTTGCCTCATCTGGAATCATTGTATAGTGCAGTCACCAGACAAGTGTTTTTACAATAAAAACAAAAATACCTCAACAAAAAAGAAAGGAATTGAGGTTGGTGATCACCGACTATTTATTAGAAAGTGCAGTGTCAAGACTCACAAAACAATTATTAACATAGCTCTCATTTCGTTGTTGTGAGATGACCTGGTACCGCTTAAACCACCTGGAAGAGATCCTATACTTCGTTGTGAGAGCTTGGTGTGGACAGATTTGTGTGGACATTGTTTGGATGTACGTGTATAACGTTATGTTTATGCTGTTTATCGTACACACATGTTGTTGTTCGTATGTAGAATGGGGCATAAGTAGTACGTTGTTTCATAGACTGGTAGCCATTTCCCAGTCATTGTCTCGCTATCATCAGGTGTACCCTGTGAGAAACAGAACATTGTATCGGGGTAATGAACTGCATCATCTGGTATTCGAGCCATCAGAACGCAAAACAAACTTGCTGGAGCTGCCAGATTATTTTTGGTCAGAGACAGGACATTGCTTCTGCCACTCATATTCTCTGTGTTTTAATTACCAAATACATTTCTAAACAAGATTCGATCAGAATATGAACGTATATTAATCCGTCTTATTACTTTAGCTGCAACTACATGCCTGTCTGAGTCCTAGTTGTGTTGCCGTGTGTGTACGTGAGCCAGAAGGTACGGCCACAGGCAGGATGTTGTGCTCCCTCATCCGCTTGCCTACCTGTCTGCTGCTAATTGGCCTCAACTCTAAAGAGATGATATTGTATTTGAATGAACACTCAAATGTCTAGCGCGTAGACGTTGTTTGTCCTCCTCACGTGGCATTGCGTAAGCGTTATTGACGGTTCAACATAGGGGTTATAATGCGCACATGATGGCTAAAAGCTCATTGTGTGGTGTTCAACTTGTCATTGTGAATACATCATGGATTTATTACTACCGAAACTACATGTACATGTACTTGACAATTTGCAAATTCGTAACAAGTATCCACAATTTTCCCATTGCCAAACACCGATGACAGTCTATACCGAGAGAAGACAGAATCCTCTGTTTGAGACGAGTTCCACTATGTCTTTAGATTTGAACTCTTGAAAGGTTCTTGACTATTCGAAAGATTGATCGAATATGTCCGCTCAAAAGAAATAGTCGACGTCCAAAACAGGGGCCTTTTGTTTTAACATTTTGTTCCAATCCTGGATTATTCATGACTTCAAGAAAGTAATACACTAGCTACTACATGGATAGAAACTGGTATACTTCCGACAGTAATACACTAGCTACTATATTATGAATATTTCCAGGTATAGGTCAGACAGTAACACACTAGGTACTAGATGAATACTATGGTATATTTCCGAAAAGTAACACAATAGCTACTAAAAATAAGGTTCATTGAATAGGTCCGATTTGTAACACTTTAGCCACTGCATAACTAATTACTGGTATAGGTCAGTTAGTTATACACTAGCTACTATATGATGTGTTCCTGGTATAGATCCATAGTAACGCACTAGCTAGTATATGAATATATACTGGCATATATTCTGAAGTAAAGCACAAGCAGCACTATGAATAACAACTCGTATAGACAGACAGTTCTATTGCGGCTCCAAATACATACAACAGCATGATCATGCTGTATCATATTGACAATTGTTTTGGTAGCCTATTGTTTACTAAATGTAATATTCTGCTCCATAACTTAATTGCCTTTGTCATATATACAAACTACAAAGGCAATCTTCCACATTCCCAAAGAACGATGTTACGGCACTTTGATTTACCAACCTTTAATATAGATTTACAAAATTTGACATGTACAGATTCAATAGTATTGCAATATGTGGTGCCCCATATTTGAGAACCATAGCATAGAATAGGTGTTATCATACAGTCAAATATCTTAAACAAATCTGGATAACAAAGGTACTAAATTTCCTTTGGTAATTTTTAACTGAAAATATTGCCTTATTTGCTTATTTGCTCCATATTAACTTAGGGGTAAATACAAGTCCCAGGTATGTATATATAACATACTGTTTCTATAGGTATATCATCATAAAACCATTTTGCCTAAGACCTAAAAGGGCAACCATTTCTAAGCAGAATAATCTTAGTTTTATTCAGATTTACTTTCATGCCAGTACGTGTACAAAAAACCTTTTTAGTACAGTTATCTTTCTCTGCAGATGTGAACAGGCATCGGACATTGTTGAGACATCATCAGCAAACACGAGGGAGCACACATCATTAATAGACGAGGTAACAGTAATACCTTGACCACCCTCTTTCCATAAGGGTACATAACTTGTTCATGAATATAATAAATATGGGTGGACTTAAAACACATCCTTGACGGGCGCCAGTGTTACAGGTAAAACACTTAGATATACCTTTAGGGGTTCTAACACGAGCAAATGAATTATTATTCATTGTGGTGATTATATCAAAAGATTTACCCTCAATACCAACTTCACACAGTGGATGCAGGAGAACATCATGTGTTGGAGTGTCAAATGCCTTGGAACAGACAATGAAGAAGCAGTAAAATCTGCCTTTTTTCCTACTAATGCATTTTTTAACTATAGTCTGTAATGAAAAAAAAATTACCAACAGTTGAGTAATGATCCCTAAAAACAGCTTGTTGATACTTTACAGATTGAGTCTATGAGAGAAATACCTCTATAGTTGTTGGGTTCATTTTTATAGCCAGACTTGAAGAGAGGGTATATAATACCCTTACACCAGCACTCCCTTACACTGGGGAATCTGCCACCATAAAAAAATGTGATTAAAAAGGTGAGTAAGATAAGGTACTGTAAGATGTCTAGAAACTTTTCAAAAACTCAGCAGCCACACCATCTGGTCATGGTGATTTAATATTTGCAGCATTTAGTATATTAAATGAAACTTCTCGATCATGATTGGTTGATTAAGTTCTCCAGTGGGTCTAATCTAGAAGGAAGCAAATCATCATCAATATCAGGGGGAACTACATCTACTGGTTCAACAGACAGGGGTGACATGAAGTGCTGACAAGATATTGACTGTGAAATTACGCTGTTTAAGTTCTCACTAGGTACTACTAGTTTATTTTTCGGAGCATCGAAATATTGTTCCTTCTTTTCTTCTAAAGGTAACCTTAATCAAATCCCATAACTGTCTAAACTCACTTATATCCTGAACAAAATCTCTATGCTCTCTAAGAGCTCTGTATGTCTTGTTTTAGCTCCTCCAGCTCCTGGTCCCACCATGGGGGCTGTTCGTCCTGTTCAATATAACATGTTTATGTCTGGTAGGATAAATACTCTTAGTGTGAGCAGCTGCATCATGACGAAGAGTTACAAATATATGCAAAGCTTCATCTGTATTAGTGTGCAAAAAATTACATAAATCGCACAAAGACTCGCTAAATAGGTACTCAAACTGAGTGACAAAAGTATTTTTCATAATCTTTAGATCACATATATTTTGTCCACTGTTCACAAGTCATTTCCTTATAGGGGCCAGTCTAGAAGTGTTACCATGGCTACTGGAGGTACATGTAAAGGTGATAGCAAGTGAGCATAAAGGGGAATCAAGAGTAGCAATACCAAACTTGGCAATATGAGGGAATAATGATGAGGTTGTCATCCTGTAATCAACGACACCTGCGCCATTATGTGAAACACATGACCCTCATGCAGCCTACCATTGAGAGTATGGATACCAAAGGTACGGCAAAGTTCGGCTAACATAATGACGTAGTTATTATGTGTCAAATTATCCCTGGACAGTCTTAGCATATCAAACACATCGCTAGGATAGTCATCTGTATCATATATGTATTCAACCGTATCATCAGGAATATAGTCAAGACAATTTTGCATCCTTGAGTTCAAATCACCCCAAAGAAAATATGTTCATGATCATAATGTGACCTCATGATCACTGTATGAAAGTTATCTTCAATTTGAGATATACCATCAGAGTCCATGTCATTATAAATGGGCGAGTTCTCGGGCGAGATATATGTAAATAAAAGGATGATATCCCGATCCATATTCACTCGTGTGACACGAAATATTAGAGCTATACAGTTCTCAAAATGTTCAAACACACGTTTATATAACCATGTTCTTTGAGACTTTGTCTGACGAATTCTGTTACACCACCATATACGTATCTTGGCCGTGCTCCTAGCTGCCATTAAGAGTAGCCTCCCTTGCACGATCACCACTTCCGCATGTACCAGATACGAACAAAATACCGTGTGCGTTTGTTGTCACTGCATCTCTGTAGCCGGTGGGATATCTTGTTTGGAGTCGGGGAGGATCGGATCGTCGTCCCGACACACGCACACGCACACGCACACGCACACACACATCGTTGTTTTCCCGATCAAAAACAAAGGTTCCTCCATTAGTGATAAGCTTATTCTGTCTCACCTTCATATCTTTGTGTAGCCGGGCACGGTGTGATGGGTCCAGCCACAGGGCTGCTGGTGTGATGGGTCCAGCCACAGGGTTGTTGGTGTGATGGGTCCAGCCACTTGGCTGTTGGTGTGATGGATCCAGCCACTGGGCTGCTGGTGTGATGGGTCCAGCCACTTGGCTGCTGGTGTGATGGGTCCATCCACAGGGCTGCTGGTGTGATGGGTCCAGCCACTCGGCTGCTGGTGTGATGGGTCCAGCCACTTGGCTGCTGGTGTGATGGGTCAAGCCACAGGGCTGCTGGTGTGATGGGTCCATCCACAGGGCTGTTGGTGTGATGGGTCCAGCCACTTGGCTGTTGGTGTGATGGGTCCAGCCACTGGGCTGCTGGTGTGATCGGTCCAGCCACTCGGCTGCTGGTGTGATGGGTCCAGCCACTTGGCTGCTGGTGTGATGGGTCCATCCACAGGGCTGCTGGTGTGATGGGTCCAGCCACTCGGCTGCTGGTGTGATGGGTCCAGCCACTTGGCTGCTGGTGTGATGGGTCAAGCCACAGGGCTGCTGGTGTGATGGGTCCATCCACAGGGCTGTTGGTGTGATGGGTCCAGCCACTTGGCTGTTGGTGTGATGGGTCCAGCCACTGGGCTGCTGGTGTGATCGGTCCAGCCACTCGGCTGCTGGTGTGATGGGTCCAGCCACTTGGCTGCTGGTGTGATGGGTCCATCCACTGGGCTGCTGGTGTGATGGGTCCAGCCACAGGGCTGCTGGTGTGATGGGTCCAGCCACTGGGCTGCTGGTGTGATGGGTCCAGCCACTTGGCTGCTGGTGTGATGGGTCCAGCCACAGGGCTGCTGGTGTGATAGGTCAAGCCGTTCTGGATCATGATGAAGTTTATTCTTATCAGATGATTGGAGGGAATAAGAGTCCTTCCTCCATTAGAGTTCATGCAGAATAAAAAATCTAATACAAGCCAAAAGGATAAAGATTCTAATTCATATGGGATAATGGGGAAGCACATGGGTGAAGATAAATGTAACACAAATGTGTGAACTAGCAAATATTCAGACATAACAAATGAAATAATAATGTAATTAAATATATTTTACTTAAAAATTAATCTGTGATACCCTTTGTATGAAAATATTTGCTTCCAGAACAGGATGGAAAAAGATCAGAATATTGAAACGTTTCTCATCTGAAAATAAGAGACCTCCCTCAATAAGAGTTCAAACAGAATGCAAGAGGAGGGCAGGTGCGAAAGGAGTCAAGATGCTAAACAGTAATATAAAGTGGTGGACAAATCTAAAAATAGATAGGGGAAGTCCAGGTGAAGCTGGATAAATCACAGAGGCTGCAAAAGGGTGTCAATGTTGATGTCAGTTGGCTGACATTCAACTGCAGACAAGGACAACATATATATAATAAACACAACATGAAGATATGGTGATAATGCATGACTATATGTCTTACTCCACGAGGGGCGCTAAACCATAGGTGCAAATGACCATCAACTTCGACAGTGTATTTCACATCCTTGTATCGCGACTCCACTGCCACCAGTTGTTTACCACAACGTTCATCTTAAACATATACTTGGCTGTATGTATCTAAATGTTAACACTGATGTTGAAATCGCTGACAACACGGACACGTGTCATATGTCATATGTCATTACAGGTCGTAATGTACCTGAATATTAACACTGATGTTTATGCCTCTGACAACACGGACACGTGTCATATGTCATTACAGGTCGTGATGTACCTGAATATTAACACTGATGTTGAAACCTCCGACAACACGGACATGTGTCATATGTCATTACAGGTCGTGATGTACATAAATACTGCTCAATGCTACGCTTCACACAACTCACTCACTTATCATTCACAACTACAGCTTCGGTCATAACATGACGGCAATATTTACGACAGTGAGTCCCGTGTTCATCATATAACTGCTCAGGCGTCGCTGAATGTCGTGGATTTGAAACAGGAAATCACGTATTATTTCCTGCATCTTGTATTACATATTGTAATTTAGAACGGAAATACGTGAACGTGAAACACTAACGCGCGCTTTCATGCTTGTATCGGAGATGATGCTTGTCTGAACGACTCGACCCGCAAAATAGTAGTTTTATGAACACTAGTCATGGACCATGTTAAATGAAGACAAGGGCGACATGAGATATATGCTTATATCGCTTATGAGATATATGCTAAATATGGACAGTGTAACACCTCCGTGCACTTAGAACGACAAGCCGTGGTGGTGGCAAAGAATGGTTTCTTTATTACCACAGTAGAACTACAGAACCGGGCGATCAGTAGTTACAGAGTCGAACATAGGAAGACGACGAAGTCACGTTGACAGTTGGGCAGCTGAGGGCTGGACTGGCTGGTCAGTGCTCGTGTCTCCTTGTCCCTGGTTTTCCTCTCTACTACTGCGACTGCGCTCCTCCGATGGTTTGCCGGTTCTCTCTTGTTAGCACAACCTGCCTGCTTTTAAAGGCAGCTGACCGATCATTTTTCTGCTGAACTAGTCAGTTCTGATTATCTTGACAGTCGTTTTGTCAGCAATTATGCTATTTACATGAGTACTTGACATTTACTATGTCAGCAATTAGGCTGCTTATATATGTACGTCAGCTGACCAATGATTCTGCTGAGTTGGTGCAGTGCCTAGGGCTCACAAACTGCCAATGGCAAATAGTGTTACATTAAATTTGCAGCTACACACCTCAGCGGAACACAAACTTTCATGTTTAAGCTACACACATCGGTTGAACTTTATCTGAAGGTGAAATTATCTGGACACATCGCTGGAACATGAGCTGAAGGTGTTCTTACCTACACACATCGGTGGATGATACACAAAGGTGGGCTGTAGCGATACACATCGGTGGATCATACACAAAGGTGGGCTGTAGTGATACACATCGGTGGATGATACACAAAGGTGGGCTGTAGTGATACACATCGGTGGATCATACACAAAGGTGGGCTGTAGTGATACACATCGGTGGATCATAAACTGAAGGAGGATTGTAGTTATACACATCGGTGGATCATACATTCAAGGTGGGTTGTAGTGATACACATCGGTGGATCATACACTAAGGTGGGTTGTAGTGATACACTTTGGTGGATCATACACTAAAGGTGGGTTGTAGTGATACACATCGGTGGATCATACACTAAGGTGGGTTGTAGTGATACACATTGGTGGATCATACACTAAAGGTGGGTTGTAGTGAAACACATCGGTGGGTCATACACTAAAGGTGGGCTGTAGTGATACACATTGGTAGATCATACATTTAAGGTGGGTTTGTTTTGATACACATTGGTTGATCATACACTAAAGGTGGGTTGTAGTGATACACATCGGTAGATCATACACTAAGGTTGGTTGTAGTGATACACTTTGGTGGATCATACACTAAAGGTGGGTTGTAGTGATACACATCGGTAGATCATACATTAAAGGTGGGTTGTAGTGATACACATTGGTGGATCATACACTAAAGGTGGGTTGTAGTGATACACATCGGTGGTTCATACATTAAAGGTGGGTTGTAGTGATACACATTGGTGGATCATACACTAAAGGTGGGTTGTAGTGATACACATCGGTGGTTGATACATTAAAGGTGGGATGTAGTGATACACATCGGTGGATCATACACTAAAGGTGGGATGTAGTGATACACATCGGTGGATCATACATTAAAGGTGGGATGTAGTGATACACATCGGTGGATCATACACTAAAGGTGGGCTGTAGTGATACACATCGGTGGTTGATACATTAAAGGTGGGATGTAGTGATACACATCGGTGGATCATCGACTAAAGGTGGGTTGTAGTGATACACATCGGTGGTTCATACATTAAAGGTTGGTTGTAGTGATACACATCAGTGGATCATACACTAAAGATGGGCTGTAGTGATACACATCGGTGGTTCATACATTTAAGGTGGGATGTAGTGATACACATCGGCGGTTCATACATTTAAGGTGGGATGTAGTGATACACATCCGTAGATCATCCATTAAAGGTGGGTTTGTTTTGATCCACATCGGTAGCTATATAGATCATACACTAAAGGTGGGTTGTAGTGATACACATAAGTAGATCATACATTAAAGATTGGTTGTTGTGATACACATCGGTGGATCATACATTAAGGGTGGGTTGTAGTGATACACATCGGTAGATCATACATTAAAGGTGGGTTGTAGTGATACTCATTGGTAGATCATACATTAAAGGTGGGTTGTTGTGATACACATAGGTAGATCATACATTAAAGGTGGGCTGTAGTGATACACATTGGTAGATCATACATTAAAGGTGGGCTGTAGTGATACACATTGGTAGATCATACATTAAAGGTGGGCTGTAGTGATACACAATGGTAGATCATACATTAAAGGTGGGATGTAGTGATACACATTGGTAGATCATACATTAAAGGTGGGCTGTAGTGATACACAATGGTAGATCATACATTAAAGGTGGGCTGTAGTGATACACATCGGTAGATCATACATTAAAGGTGGGCTGTAGTGATACACATCGGTAGATCATACACTAAAGGTGGGGTATAGTGATACACATCGGTAGATCATACACTAAAGGTTGGTTGTTGTGATACACATCGGTGGACTTCATGTAAGGCTGAACATGAAGGTTAAAATATTATTACACATTCAGAAGTACAATCATGCCAGTATCTCAATTGTCCCAGGCATAATACATTAAAGAAAGGTAGTTGTTAATTTTTTTAAGCAACGAAGTTAGCAACAGTAGGAGCGAATATATATCTATGATGATTACAAGATCACAATTCAGTTGTGGAATAACGGGATAAAGTAAGGACGACGTCGATTGTGGAGCCGAGGCTTGGGCATCAGTATCAGCTGACCTTGACTGTTGACTGTATTGTGACGTGCGGTCATAACAGCAGGTTAGCCCAGTATTGACCCGCAAGGATCGACTGTAACTTGTAATACTTAACAAGTGAAATTTTATATTGTGTTGGAACTACTTCAACATTAGGATCAGTAAATCTAATTTGTCAGTCAAACGTTATCATAGCTGAAAAGTACCTTTAGTAAGTCGTACATTTCGTACAGCTCCGGTAAACCTGGCATTATTTGAGACGGGCATGCCGCTGAGATGATCAACGAAATATGGCAACAATTATTTCTCTGGCAAGTTCTAATTCTAATGTTGTACCAGCCTTTGGAGTTCTTTTTCGACATTTGAATACAAGCAAGATTACAATTAAAGCTATGGAAATTAATAGAAGCCCGTTGTCTAAAGTAATTACGCAAGATAAACTAACAAAGTTATTGATAATACTGTTCGCTGATTGGATCGTAGTGGTGGGCTGCATAGTAGCAGGGTTTTTTGACCGGACTGTGACCTGAAATAAGAGCTAGTGTGAGCCAATTAGATCGGAGTTTCAGGAATCCTAGCAGGGTGAAGCACAGGCTAGGGCAATGGTGGCAAAAGCAAGGGATATGTAGGCGATAATGCTTGTGCCAAGGCCCTGTGCAGATGGAGAGAAGGAGCCTTCATTATCATAATCTGTGATAATTCTGTTATCGGAATTAACTGGATTGAGAAAGAGCGTGACCGGCAGCTGTGTCTGAGACATTGAGAACGTCAACTGGGAGAGGCGGCATTTTGAAAACAGGAAGTGTGGAGGGCAATCCTGTTTGTAATAAAAGTTGTTACTTTTCAATATCAAAGAAATGACTCAATAGTGGTAAATTTAAGGGACATTTTACAATGCCTAGCGACCTGGTATGGCAGTACGTGATTCTAGGCGGTATATGAAAGTGATCTGCGAACAAACTACATCTACATCGAAGATCAGTTATGCATAATTCACAAGAATCCTTTAGTGATTGTGCGCTCACAATGCAATGCTACGGATGTAACGTTTGAGAGAACTACAGTACCGGTATTTAATTCTATGACCTTTGAACTTAACCCGTTAGGAACGATACTAAATTTGCATAAAGCATGGACATTGTCTAGATTTATAAGAAATATAGCAGACCAACAAGAAGGGCGAGGTATTTGCTGCTGAGCGATCAGTGATGGGCAATGTTTGCGTTTGTGTCCATGGCATAGTTGAAAATATGTTTCATACATTTCAAAGAAAGTGTCACGTTGCGGATTAATAGCAATATATTCTGGAACGTTAATCAATTTCGTAGTATGAACCGAAGATGAGTTAATTGGAAGAGGGAAGATATAGACTTTATAAAAGTTGGATAAGAATGTGTGTGACGTCACTGGAATTCAAATTGTAATGAAGTGAGGTGAAATTCGGTTTAACGTCGCGTCCAGGATTATTGCACTTATACAGCGACGTGCATGCACGTGTGCGTGTGTGTGTGTGGCTGCTTGTACTAGTCAGGACTGATGCCGATTTATAGTGCTAGCTCACTGAGATACCACGCCGCAGTTTAACATGAATACCCCACTCAGACACAGTATACTGACTCCGAGCCGACCAATCCTTGTTTTAGCACCTAAATGCCGAGCGCCAGACAGGGTAACAACAATTACCATCTTTTAACGTCTTTTGGTCTGACGCGGCCGGGGATCGAATCCCGGACCGTGCTCGCTCCGGGCTGTCCAAATTGTAATGAATATGGAATCTTTCTTTAGTATACAATAATGGTTTGGTATCCTAATAGAAACGATACATCAAACGAAACAGATACCCATTTCATATTTGATTGTAATAGTAATTGAAATCCGGCCATCACTCTGCTTTAACAGTGACTTACATTGTCCCATGCCCCAAACACCTGCTCCGCTGGCACATGTCCAAATCAAAAACTAAATGAATATTTTATATATATCACGTTACGTGTGTTCTGTCTTTTTTTTATTTTCAGGGACTGCATTTTGGCGTACAAATGACACAGTGAACATTAAAGTGTACGCACATCGCTTCAATTTGCACCTGCCTTAGATTATCAAAACATGTTGGCTCCACTCCTCCTCGCTAACATACTCACAAGTATCCTGGGCAGCGATGTGGTCAACGTTGGAGTGCTGCTTCCATCAACAGGAGATTATCCATGGGTCATTCAAAAAACGCTGCCAGCGCTAGAGATAGCCATAGAACGTTTAAACAAGAACACCCATCTTTTACCGAACCACTTACTTCATCTTGTGGTCAAGGATTCTCAATGTTCCGGCAAGGAAGGGCCACTTGAAGCTATTGAACTCTACAGACAGAACCACGCTCATGTATTTATCGGCCCGGCCTGTGATTATGCTGTGGCGCCTGTGGCCAGATACAGTCAACGATGGGGGATACCTGTGTTGACGGCTGGAGCTCTGGTCAGTGCGTTTCTCGACAAATCAGAATATAATCTGTTGACACGAATGGTAGGTCCCTATAACAAACTGGGCGATTTCGTCTTGGACATTTTAAGACATTTCAAATGGCAGCATGTTGGTTTGCTGTACTCGGATTTTAAATACGGTGCAAATAAAGGAAAGTCCAACTGCTTCTTCCAACTTGAAGCGATTTACTTGGAACTTAAGAAATCATTTCGGACCAAACCATGGCATAAATCATTCAGCTCCACAATTGGGGATGATCAGTTGAAGGCATTACTCCAGGAAGCTATGGAGGAAACAAGAGGTGAGTAAGTCAGTTGTCTACATCAACCCATGACGGAAATACTGACTCACACAAGGGGGCTTATAGCATTTACAAACGAACACATGATGATAGCGACCATATACAATAGGCCGTCAATCATGGGGGCATGGCCAGTTCATGGAAATATAACACTTGGGTATAGAGAGGGTCTGCCTTGACATTAATTAAATATATCAAATATTAACTTGGTTTTAACTGGACAAATCCACAAAATATTGATCACCTTTTAAGAATACGTTCACCAGGCTTGTTTTACACAGAGACTTTATCAGAACGCTCAGTCAAATACCTGACGTAGAGACCTTTATGATTCACGAAAGACCCAACACTGCTGCCCACGTTCACTGACTGCCAGTGTCTGATGTAACTTCTGTTCGCCCTTCGAGTTGCTCCAAGTTACAGAATGTCATATTTCAAGAAACTTATTCTCGTGTTCGTACTCTGATGATACATGTATGACAAGTGAGGTGCACAAGCTGAAGGTGTACACCCCTGTACACGAGGCCTCGTGATGTACACGCCCTCTCAGCTCATATACTCCCGTAATGACACATGGACCTCATCTGGCGTGAATCAAACGTGCTACACTGTGTCAAACACTTAAGATAGTTGTAGCATAGTTGTTAGTATATCTTATTATAACAATGCTAGAGAGGAATTCTCCAAACTGTATATGAACTGTATTGTTAACGGTTTTGACTGAGCGCTTGAGTCAGTTTGGTTTATCGTAGCTTAGCAATGTTCCACCAAGAATGAACTTCACACGCTGCATCAATATCAGGTAGGCGGTGGGGAGCCTACTGGTTAAAGCGCCAGCCCTTCACGCCAAGTACCCGGGGTCTGATGTGGGGGGGGCCTACCAGTGATAGTGCTGGACTATTTCTGCAAGCACTCACTCCATATGGACATCGTGTCTGCCTCACCTCCTTACATACGGTGTAATGCATTATGGTGTGACTGTGGCATGAAACGGATGTAGTACTTAGACCCATGCATTTACTCAGTCAGAAACAACCACGTACGTGCGACTTAGGCCATGGTTAGAGTGTGCACCTCTCGCGGGAAAACATAACGAAGCTAGTATTCTTATGGAAAAGCAAAGCCGAATTTGTCAGATCTTATATACATGTAACAGAAGTAAGAGAATGACCTGTAAGAGAATGTGCCGCTGTGTATTTCATTTGTATCACAGATTGTATCGGTTTACATCAATGATTACCCAGTGTAAGTGTCTTATGCCTATTCTGTTAAATACTCTTGGCCTACTCATAACACCAATTAGTTGAGGGCGCGTCTTACTATGTCCATTTCCCTTCGTATCTAATGTCTACTGCATATGCGTTTGGAATTATTTGAAGTATATCATTTGTAGCACTAAAACAAACGCGGTACGTATTAATACAAGGAATATAGCTAAGTATATAAGTCATTTACCGTTATGGAAGATAATAATCTGAGTGATAGGGGGTGCTCAGAAGAGGGACAGAGGTTAGGGTGTTGCCGATGGCATAATGTTACAAATTTGGTAAACCCATCTAGAGCGCGGGTATTCTGTCAGGGATCATATAAGTGCGCTATCTTTTCTTCCAATACTCCTGATATCGCGTTGAAATTGAATCGAGAAAATGCTGTGCCTTCGATGGAGACATATGTCTTTGCAGATTTAATTACTATAAAATGAATTTGGAACCAAAGAGCACCCCCACAATAAATCACAATCACGTATGTTAGCTAGATTATTCCATGGGTGCAAATACACCGTACTATACAAAACAAGTTAGGGATCATGAATAGTTGGCAGGATATTTTTTTATGAAATTATGTGTTCAGTCGTCACTACAAAAATATCCCAAAACTATTCAGGATCCTAACATTGTTTTGTTCAGTACATATAACATCTCTGTGGCATATCGATGGCATGAGTTGAGTTCAATGTATTCAGTTTGTTGTCGCTTTGAGTTATGGAATCAGCAAATGCTTCCCTGAAACATAATGTATACTAAATATACTTATGTATAATGTGTATTCATCAATATACTACAATACATACTCATGTATACCATATATACTCGTACACAGCACACTCATGTAATCCTTATGTACTTTTACTATACATACTGATGTATACGATCTTAACTAATACCAGATACACTCGTGTATATACTCATATTATATATACTCATATATACCTTTTACATTCACACTTTACATATAATATATGTAAATTGTATATAATCCTGTATACTATCTATATATACCCGTACTATATATGCTCATATATATATATATATATATATATATATATATATATATATATATATATATATATATATATATATATATATATATATATATGCATATATATATATATATATATATATATATATATATATATATATGCACCCCATTGCCGGTCGTAAAAAGCGACCGAATTGGGCAACCCTGTGTCGGTAGAGGACGGGCGTCTGGTGGTTGAGAGGACTGGAGCCAGGAACCGGTGTTCCTTTTGCCCAATACAACACTTCGACCCTTACTTCACCTAGACGGGTGGTAGAATTGGCCCGATTCTATCAATCGGCTGGCCACGTCATGCCCTGTGCATGCCCTGTGCATGTCACTTTAGATAAATCATATTAAACAAGTGTTGTTATATGTACAGTTAACTACGGTTATTACGAACTCAAAGGGACCACTAACTTGAGTTTGTTATAACCGTAGTTCGTTATAAGCATATATACAGTATAACAATAGCAAATAGTCGGGACAAAAATATCAGTTCGTTATATCCGTCAGTTCGTTATAAGCGTACTTTACTGTAATATGATACTCCAACTTATGCAAATCTAAATATTGCCTAGAGTTCTATGCCAGTAGGCGGTGGCTCAAGGGGCAATCTGGTGATGTCAGCCTCCGAATTCTATATGTCTCCAATGTTCTGTCATGGGCCGGACCAGTTGGGCATTTCTTTATGGTAGACAAATGTAGTCATTTGTGTTGTATTTGCTGGAGTACACCACCCCCATGGCCTTGTAGCAGCATCGTCCTTTTTGACACTCGATGGCGGGAGGGGATCAGGGTTGCTGAATTTTATTAACAGACTGTCTCAAAACCAAACTTCTGGTTTCATTGAAAAGCAATAAACGTCGTCATGTTCTTGGTCAAGTTTCATAGTCATCTCATGTACTGATGGAAACCCTCTTAAACTAAATCCTTTTGCTGTCTCCATGGGCATTCATAGTGTAAAAAATGTAACCCGTCTCCAAAATGGTTCGCTTCTTGTGGAATGTGCACAGAGACAGCAATCTGTCAATCTGCTGGGTCTCCAGCTATTTGTTAACACCCAGGTTGTGGTTTCAGTGCACAAATCTCTAGACTCCTTTAGAAGAATTGTTCGAGATCTAGCAAACTGTCTGTCTGACATGACAGAAGAAGAAATTACAGCAGCATTACAAAATCAAGGCGTTACGTTTCACAAGAAGAAACTTCACTTCATCAAAACAAATACCTACCTGTTTACTTTCAGGCTTTCTACTCTCCCAGAATCAATAAAAGTAGGCTACTTTAACATCTTTGTAGGGATATATTTACCTTACCCACGAAGATGTTTTTAAATGTCAACAGTTTGGCGATGGTGCCAAGATCTGGACCTGCACTTTCAAAACTGTCTGCATTTGTTGCAGTGGTGCTCATGAGAGCCTTGAGTGCACAAATAAAATCAAGTGTGCCAGTTGTGATGGACCACATTTGACATCCCAAATTCCCAAAATTTGAACATCAGTCACAAATCCACAAAATTAACTACACCAACAATATATCTTCTTTTTTTAAGCAAGAAATTAGTTTCCATTCAATCTCCACTTCCTACTTTTACATATTCTGCTGCAGCTTCTTCTGTTCCTGTTCCTGTTCCAACTGCTCCCAAGGTTACAACAAATTCTGTTTCATGTCAAACAGTCATATCTTGGGTGACAGATCCACAGGTTACAAATTATGAGACACAAAATACACAGACCAGTACATCAGCCTCTCGGACAAAGAACCCTACACCAGGTCCATCTGATCCACCAAAAATTGAGACAGTACCCATGACAAGGAAGAAAAAGAAACAGTTGTGGAAAAAGGCCAGGACACTCCAGAATTTGGAGGTGCCTCCTTCTTTGGAAACCCCTGTAACGGTTCACAATCTGTTTGAACTGCTTGGTATGGACATCACTCCATCACATCATGTACATCGGAGTGGCCATTCCACACGTTCTAGATCCCCATTTGAGCCTCTATGAGTGGATCCCTTGATTTGATTCAGTGGAATTGCAGAGGACTCAGGAAATTGTTTAATGAGATACAATTGTTAGTACAATATTTTAAACCATCTGCACTTTGTCTCAAAACATACTGATAAATTTGATTGAGGACAGTACAACTGTTAAAATTCCTTTTACCGCCAGGGGATAAGGCGTGTAGAGGATATTCAATCTGTGTGAGGCAGGGCGTCATTTATAGCCCTGTACCTCTTGATACAAGTCTTCAAGCTGTTGCATATAGTATTTACTCTGTGCTCATTGTACATTCCTTCACCCAGTACACTTCGTAATCTGATCAGCTTCCTAAATCATGAATAATCATGGGTTATCTGAACGGGCACAACCTTCTATGGGGAAGTGTAAACACCAACAATAAAAGGGAAAGTACTTAAAGAATTCATTTCTGACAATAGCTTATGTATTTACAATAATGTTTCAGCCACCTATTTAACGATTTTGAACTGTCGATCCATGATGACATCAACAAATTTCTGCAGTACCCCATTCTTTCCACATAAATCATTCCATGCAGAAATTTCCAAATCATTTTGGTATTAATTTTGTATGGATGTTGGCAACACTCAGATATGTCAGATATTTAAGATTTTACTACTTTGGAGTTTCTTGTTTTGGAGAGTTTTGAAAAAATCAAATAGCATCATTTTGACTAGTTTGTACATGCTTGTCCTTTCGTTGGCATATTTTGGGTTTGAATAACTTGACTGTTATTACACATATTTCTAAAGCGTTTGTATCATATCTTGTTTGGTATCCTCTAATTTTGTCTGTTTTATTCACTCATAGGAATCTAAAACATTTTCTTTGAAACTGATCAACTGTTGATCTAAGAGGGTGTGGTCAGGGTGTTGAGATAGTCACAAGCAGGTATAGCAAAATCTCGTTTTGAAACACGGTATGTTTGGAACATATCTAAAGGTAGTTATAAAAGGTTTGAATCGGGGGACTGACTCTCATATAGATATTCTGTAATCACACGTTACTAAGGTTATGCCATGTCTATTACACAATGAGGGAGATGGCAGTCTACCCTGTTGTTGCTCTAAACATTACTTTTATCCTCTTGTATCTAGTTATTTTGCTGTGTGCACCCCACGACACTGTGAGGAATATCATGATCCAGTTCGAAGAACTTGGACTTGACAACGGGGAGTATGTTGTCATCAACTTCGACATGTTCTCAAGGTAGGTTTGGGTCATGGTCGTCTATTATGTAAATAAAACAATATTGTTCTAAAAATATGCACATTTTAAAAGGCCATTCATGAATAATGGTATTTTCTAATAACAGAGGCAGTAGATTTTCTTTGTGAGTGGTTTAGTAGATGTGCTCAGTATGGGGCACTTTGAAACGTCGACTCTGGAAGATCCGGGCAGAGAAAAGGTCGACTATGCTTGTCGTAAGAGGCGACTGACGGGATCAGGTGGTTAGGCTCGTTGACTTGGTTGATGCATGTCATCGTATACGTATCTCAGTAGCGAAGATCGATGCTCATGATGTCAATCACTGGATTACATGGTCCAGACTCGATTATTTACAGACCGCCGGTATATAGTTGAGTGAGGCGTTATGCAACGAACAGACAAGCAAACATGATCACTATGGAGCTACATGTACACTACTAACTGACATTCAAGGACAGATATCATGTACAATAGGAGATGTTTTCATTCTTATTTATCTCCCTGTTCAGGGGGTAATTCAAAGAACAAAACGTATTTACACTATCACATATATTTGGATCTTCAGCTTTCTTTTCCAACATCGGGCGATGACGTAATGTCGTTTTGAAGTGTATATGTTTCAAGGCGGCTCTAGGTGACTTATATACATTTATGTATATTTAGAATTATTATTATTTATGTATAGAAGTACTACACACTAGAGCTTATCCCGGGAATAACCACACCTATGTACAGGGCTCGTCATATATTCATAGGTGTTCTTATTCCGGGATAAGCACCAGTTTGTCGTACTTCTCGTAGAGCCGCCTTCATCATGCTATCAACCAAAGGTTTACCGGGCCAGATTAGATTATTGAAAGAGCATGGCTGAAATAGTGTTTTGTGAGGCGTATAACATAACACAACACTTTGTTTACAGTGGGATTGAAGGCACAAAACCTTGGTTCCGTGCAGGTGACACGACACAGAGAAATAGACAGGCACGTAAAGCGTACGAGGCGGTGATGACAGTTACCCACAGGCGACCTTCCAGTGCCGAATTCGCCATGTTCTCTAAGGAAGTAAAGAGACGAGGATCTGCCTTGTACCACGACTACGTGTATGGCGAGGAGGAGGTACACCGAAGTCTTTCAATCTGATAGGTCAAAACTCGTGTTTTCTAGAACAATTTCAATTTCATAAACGTTCATCTTAAACATTAACTCTAACGCTCGTTATTATATTGTCAACAGAAGTCTTGATGTTATCCAAAGAGAGGATACGCTTCACAGTCGGGTGCCTAACTATGCTCAAAGGGAAAAGTAACTGGTCATTTTGGCAATGGTCATGTTAGGATTTCGATTTACTTAATCTTTGAATATTATGTTTTATCTGATAGCACCAAACCTAAGGCTACTATACATTAACTCCACAGCAACCTGTAACAATAACCGATCATTATACTGTTCAAGGCGGCGTTAAGTCGTAACCACTGTTTATTTGTTTGAAGGTGAACCTGTTTGTTGGGGCCTTCCACGATGCAGTAATGCTGTACGCTTTCGGCCTTCATGAAACTCTGGCATCTGGAGGGAATGTTAGTGATGGTGCAGCCATCACCAGCAGGATGTGGAACCGGACATTTCAAGGTACATACGTAGGCGTTGTACCTGAGTAGGGTTCTACCGACAGTGACGCAGGTACATGTACATGTTACCAGTGACGCAAAAAGTGTTTATCTACATTAAAATCATTTAGGTTTTGGCGTACTGGGCCAATGATCATGGTGTCTGGAGCGACATTATTGATGGCATGTGGCATCATGCAGGAAGCAGAGGTAATGTGGTGGACAAGTTTAGTGGACCAGCTTAGCTTTAGCTATAGTTGTTAATCAGTTTGTATTCATCTAGTTTGTTTTATATACTATATGTGATATTTACATAGCTTGCTTTCGGCAATTTGACTCTAAGAATTATGTCTTTAACGGGAGATATCGCCGATGTAAACTAAAGGATATAACTAAGCAATAGCCTACCGCTCGACCATGTAAAAATACATTGTTTCAATCCCCTGCATATTTCCAAGGATATCATTATAATATGCGGTTGAAGTGAATATGACATTGTCGTACTGAACCATGGACGTTTATCATGAACATGACCAACAGTCCTCGGCACGTGAAATGGAAGCACAAAGTATCGTGGTGATTTATTCACGATGATACATGTAGATGCATGAGTGCTTCTACTTACAAAGCGGAAACAAGCCATGCCGGCGACAAGGAATATTGAGCAGGCTACGCTCATTTTTGAGCGAACACCTGGTATCAGTACTGTTTGATGCTGATTCTTAAACACATGCTCATGATATAGTCGGCATCCTACAATCGACTCTGCTTTATGCAGAGACTTCTATCAGATAAAGAAAGGGTTTTGTCGCTTTATTGTAACGAGAAACAAAATGCAAAGTCCACGTTTTGAGATATATCCACTTTGCATCGTCGTAAATCTTGTTGAGTTTTGATCACGTGCTTACACATATCGACAATCAGGTGATTGCGAGCGGTTATGTTTAGCAGGGTACTTGGTTCATTCATGAAATAAACGACGAGTGGAAGTTGTTTATCGTACAATAAAACACTGTAGGGAGAATAAACCCTTTTAAGGATTTTGATAAAATGTCCAAGTTTTGAAAATATGTACCCGTATTTAAATAATGATGACTCCCACAACAGAATCCGACAAAGTCACTTTTATGAACGAGGGTGGTGTCTCATCAGGAAGCGATGCGAGACGAGTTGATGCGTATGTTAGAATGCCCAAAATTACTAATGACAGAATAATGTTTTATCATGAAATACACCACGCTTCGCTCTTCATTGTTCTTTGTGATCTATCGCGTAGCTATCTTATAAAGCGCTTAAAAATACTACATCTGCACCTTATTGTCCTTCTGTTCGTGCTAGTAATATACGTGCGGTTCACACGCTGCTAAACATCGCCGCTAGCAGTCACACTTAGCCACGTGATCAAAACTGAATGATGATGTTAACAGCTGGCACAGTGGATGTTGTGTAATGCATCAATGATAGTAACACGCTGGACTTACAGAGAACCAAGTTTATCCCATTGTTTTCATCATTTGCAATGAAGCCAATGGCGGCCTGACCTGAAATGCAGATCTGATGACCAGTATGGTATGATATTGATGATTTCGTCTCTTTATGTCCCTACGTCATGGGTCGGTTGTATAACCCATACACGATTCTCTTTACACTGCTGTGACAAAGATTGAATATCCTTGAAAACACGGTAACTCAACATTGACTAACTCACTGCTTGTCGCAGGCATCAGTGGGACGGTGAGCATAGACGCTAATGGGGACAGGGACAGCGACTACTCACTACTGGACCTCCACCCCGGGACCGGGAGATTAGAGGTAGGATGCACACCGGCGCCAAACACACTGTGTTCAATGTACAGCCAGCTATAGGTGACCTGGAAAGTAAAAGGCACTGAAATTGATTTGAGATCGAAAAAGCACCCAATATTATAAAATGTCCGATGTCGCTTTGCAATATGTAGCCAATAATCGTTCATGATCATGTCCTTTTCGAAAGATGCCTGCTGACAAGGATTGAAAAAGAAGTACCATTCCATAACTGTTTAGGCTTCAGTGGTAATGCAGGCGTCAAGTCAAATAGTTCCATCAGAGGTGCTAACTGAGATACATAACTTCTGATCGACAAATGAGAATCGAGTATTCTCAAAATAGTAGATTGAAGAATGATTAAATTCACAATCACTCTAAAGTTATATAGCCATGTAAATGTTGTGTAGAATAATGCATGTAGACAAAAAGATACAGGGATTTCTTACTCAGCACTGCTATAATTTAAAACCAACGTGTGCAAAATGCAACACCAACTTGAAAAAGGAAAAGAAATATGTGTAAATGGCCAACTCGCGATCGAGTTGTAGTGATGTGCATGCAAAGATGTAAAAATAGAGAAATACTTACCATACCCGGAAAAGGCTTGATTTGTGTAGTTGTTGACGCCGTACCCAGCAGTACCGCAGCTCTTGTCCAGTCAGTCAAGTAACGTATATCATGAACATCGATCCATTGGGATACTATGACGTGCATCAACAAAGTCCACGAGCCTGACCACCCGACCTCGTAATTCGCCTCTTACAACAACCATAAGCGCCTCTTATGACAAGAATGGGTTCCTGAAGACATTTTCTGACCCTGATCTTCACCATCTTCCCGAGGCAAGAGAGTTAACTGACTATAAAAGTCCAGTTTCCATCCTTCCCGAACTAGGCTCGTATAATGGAGTTACATTTTGGCTGGACTAACGAGTCTATGCATAGTCCAATCAAAATCGCGCACCGAAATTGAAATCCGGTTGTAAACTGTCGTGCAGATTTCGGTCGATTGCAGGATTTGCAAAGCATCTGCACCGCCATTTAGTTGTCAGCAGATATTTTCCAAATCTTTTCATGTTTTTAATCAAGGTGCTCACGTGATTTGATGCATTTCGCCATGTAAGACCCGTTTTATCACAATATAGATCTTGATTATCGACCAGATCGTCCTGACCGGGCGCCACCATTTTGTGTGAAGCAAACGCAAGTGATACGAGAGGTGGAATCTGATCGGTCTATAGGAGAGGCTTAGAAGGGACATAACTGGTAATAGCCACTGGTGGCGCTACAATCGAGCCCAGGAATTCCAGCCTAGTTCGGCAAGGGTGGAAACTGGACTCTAAAGTCAATTAACTCTCTTGCCTCGGGAAGATGGATCTATACGGGTCTACCGGAATGGTAGTTCTTCACATACCTTCAGTTCAGTATTACTTAAAGGGTAAAAACGCCTTCCGAGGTTATTGTTGGGGGATGTAAGGGTGTGTGTTTGGGGGGGGGGGGGGGTTATGGTTAGACCGAAACCGGGAAGCATTTCCAGGAAGCAATGCTTTTTTTGTCTGAGACACCACAGGGAACAAACTGTTTGGTTTTGGCTAATAGGTAGTGATTTTAGATATCTACAGATATTAGTTATCATGTAGGAGGTAGATATATGCTGCCAGTGACAAAAGTAACACGCAAACGGAGGTACGGGTTACTAGAAACCTGTCAGAGATGTGTACATGTTGATTGCATAGTGTTTAGGTACCACCCTTTAATCACCAAATAGACCCTTTGTATGTGAGCAGTGCACATAGACTGGACACACAAAATACACAAAACGTAAGTCACCCTACTTTTTCTCAAAAAGGTGAACAAAAAATAGCCCCATGTCAGATACACAGACATATCACCTGTTTGTGATCACGGCGAGGAAAGGGAGGTAATTCCGGGGATACTGACACAACCCTGCGGCAACGACTTTTTCAGACATCATATCGACTTGCCAACCAGGGTTACTCTCAAACGATTGATTTATAGAGGTTATCACGCGAGTGTGGTTGGGGATGGTAAATATCCTGTATTAGGAATAAATAAACATTGCATTTAGCGAGCTTTGTCGAGCTAAATACAAGGTGTTACGGAGTGTAATCAGATACACATAACGACACAACGAAACAACGTAAAACACTTGGACATATTTCGGCCAAATCCAACTGTTTGGGGAAAGGTTCCAAGCCGCAGAGGTCTACAAGCACAGACATGGAAACTTATCGCTCAAGGCTAGTGTCCTGCTAACTTGTTTCGCAATGTATATCTCAAACGTTGCCCAAAGTTGTAAAATGCCTAAGCTACGTCACACTGATTTTCGGTGCACTAGGCTATTTTTTTAATAATGAAATTATCCCATTAGATTTTCTTCTCGAGACTCCCGATGATTTATTCTGTCTCGATCGCCGAATGACATGGACGACGCCATGTTTGCTTGACAACACTGAAAGTAGTCCCTACTTGACCTTTGATATTTGCATCTCCATTCTCATATGACAGCAACGGATATCCTGTTTTTCCTTTGGCTTTGTCCTGCCGAGAAACATGTCCATTTTATGATTATACCCCTTATATGTGTATTTAAACGGAGCCCACAAATCCGTTGAAAATGTTGAAGAGACAGTATAGGATGAATCAACTGAAGCTTCGTAAAATCATTTCCAATACTACAGCTGTATGGCGGGGTGTTGTGCATCATCTTGTCTGGACGTTCGTGTAACGGTTTTCTTTCAGGTAGTGGCCAACTACTTTGGGAACATTAAACAGTATGAACCGGTTCATGGGAAACGCATTCACTGGGCAGGAGGAAGGACTTCTCCCCCGCCGGACGTGCCCAAGTGTGGATTTCATGGAGCCAAGTGTCCACCCGACGGTCAGTCTGATTATACAATTGCGAGGTGGACATGGAAAAGGTTTGACGTTGCCATGTGTTTGAATGAAGGGAAGGTTGCGATGAAGTAGTAGTGTGGGTTTGATAGAACCATGTGTCTGCCTGAAGGGAAAGTTGCGATGTGAACTTGGTGTGGGTTTGATAGTATCATGTGTTTCCATGAAGGGAAGATTGTGATGAAGTAGTAGCGTTGGTTTGATAGAACCATGTGTCTGCCTGAAGCGAAAGTTGCGATGTGAACTTGGTCTGGGTTTGATAGTATCATGTGTTTCCATGAAGGGAAGATTGCGATGAAGTAGTAGTGTGGGTTTGCTAGTACCATGTGTCTGCCTGAAGGGAAAGTTGCGATGAAGTAGTAGTGTGGGTTTGCTAGTACAGTACCATGTGTCTGCCTGAAGGGAAAAGTTGCATTGAAGTAGTAGTGTGGGTTTGCTAGTACAGTACCATGTGTCTGCCTGAAGGGAAGATTGCGATGTTGGCGTAGTGTTGGTTTGATAGTACAGTACCATGTGTCTGCCTGAAGGGAAAGTTGCGATGAAGTAGTAGTGTGGGTTTGCTAGTACAGTACCATGTGTCTGCCTGAAGGGAAGGTTGCGATGAAGTAGTAGTGTGGGTTTGCTAGTACAGTACCATGTGTCTGCCTGAAGGAAAGATTGCGATGAAGTAGTAGTGTGGGTTTGCTAGTACAGTACCATGTGTCTGCCTGAAGAGAAGGTTGCGATGAAGTAGTAGTGTGGGTTTGCTAGTACAGTACCATGTGTCTGCCTGAAGGGAAGATTGCGATGAAGTAGTAGTGTGGGTTTGCTAGTACAGTACCATGTGTCTGCCTGAAGGGAAGGTTGCGATGTTGGCGTAGTGTGGGTTTGATAGTACAGTACCATGTGTCTGCCTGAAGGGAAGGTTGCGATGTTGGCGTAGTGTGGGTTTGATAGTACAGTACCATGTGTCTGCCTGAAGGGAAGGTTGCGATGAAGTAGTAGTGTGGGTTTGATAGTACAGTACCATGTGTCTGCCTGAAGGGAGGGTTGCGATGTTGGCGTAGTGTGGGTTTTGCTAGTACAGTACCATGTGTCTGCCTGAAGGGAAGATTGCGATGAAGTAGTAGTGTGGGTTTGCTAGTACAGTACCATGTGTCTGCCTGAAGGGAAGGTTGCGATGTGGGCGTAGTGTGGGTTTGCTAGTACAGTACCATGTGTCTGCCTGAAGGGAAGGTTGCGATGTTGGCGTAGTGTGGGTTTGCTAGTACAGTACCATGTGTCTGCCTGAAGGGAAGGTTGCGATGTTGGCGTAGTGTGGGTTTTTGCTAGAACAGTACCATGTGTCTGCCTGAAGGGAAGGTTGCGATGTGGGCGTAGTGTGGGTTTGATAGTACAGTACCATGTGTCTGCCTGAAGGGAAGATTGCGATGAAGTAGTAGTGTGGGTTTGCTAGTACAGTACCAGGTGTCTGCCTGAAGGGAAGGTTGCGATGTTGGCGTAGTGTGGGTTTTGCTAGTACAGTACCATGTGTCTGCCTGAAGGGAAGATTGCGATGAAGTAGTAGTGTGGGTTTGCTAGTACAGTACCATGTGTCTGCCTGAAGGGAAGGTTGCGATGAAGTAGTAGTGTGGGTTTGATAGTACAGTACCATGTGTCTGCCTGAAGGGAAGGTTGCGATGTGGGCGTAGTGTGGGTTTTGCTAGTACAGTACCATGTATCTGCCTGAAGGGAAGATTGCGATGAAGTAGTAGTGTTGGTTTGCTAGTACAGTACCATGTGTCTGCCTGAAGGGAAGATTGCGATGAAGTAGTAGTGTGGGTTTGCTAGTACAGTACCATGTGTCTGCCTGAAGGGAAGATTGCGATGAAGTAGTAGTGTGGGTTTGCTAGTACAGTACCATGTGTCTGCCTGAAGGGAAGGTTGCGATGAAGTAGTAGTGTGGGTTTGCTAGTACAGTACCATGTGTCTGCCTGAAGGGAAGATTGCGATGAAGTAGTAGTGTGGGTTTGATAGTACAGTACCATGTCTCTGCCTGAAGGGAAGGTAGCGATGTGGGCGTAGTGTGGGTTTGCTAGTACAGTACCATGGGTCTGCCTGAAGGGAAGATTGTGATGAAGTAGTAGTGTGGGTTTGAGAGTACAGTACCATGTGTCTGCCTGAAGGGAAGGTTGCGATGTTGGCGTAGTGTCTGCCTGAAGGGAAGGTTGCGATGTGGGCGTAGTGTGGGTTTGTAGGTACCACGTGTCTTCCTGAAGGGAGGGCTACGATAAAGACGTAGTGTGGGTTTGATAGAACCATGTGTCCGACACGAACAGCGAAAGTTAAACGCTCCTTCTGTGTGCACAGATGTCGCCCTGGGAATAGAAGCTGTCGCTTTTCCTCGCCGTGAGTTGCTGAGAGGTAAAATTGAAATCGAAAAGGGTGATGGAAGTTGACCGAGGTAAACTGCTTCTTGTGTCATGGACTTTTATCCTGCGTCTTTCCACTATAAACCATGTGAAATTAATATATGATAATATATATTTACAACGTCTCATTTCAGAGCGGTTCCCCGACTACGGCATCGTCATCATCGTGCTGGGGTCCGTTGTGCTGGTCGTGCTGGTAGCAGCCTTCCTCATATATAGATGGAAGTTCAGCAACTATTTCGCCATGACACATTCTACATGATACACCGACTTCACAACTGGAACTCTACTCCACTCACAGCAATCATATGATAGTATACTGCTTTGAAGTTCACATGTAACATTGATAACATATGCTGTTTAGAGTGAAATGTTAACAACAGCAGTGCTTGGTATATTTAACTGCTTTATGTACAAAACAGTACATCAGACAATTGGTCATGTAGCAAACTAGAGGCTGATGTTCATTCCTTCTTTACATCATATACACGTCCTGCTATACACCATGTAGACACACTGCTATACACCATGTAGACACCCTGCTATACACCATGTAGACACCCTGCTATACACCATGTAGACACACTGCTATACACCATGTAGATACCTTGCTTTACACCATGTAGACACACTGCTATACACCATGTAGACACACTGCTATACACCATGTAGACACCCTGCTATACACCATGTACACACCCTGCTATACACCATGTACACACCCTGCTATACACCATGTAGACACCCTGCTATACACCATGTACACACCCTGCTATACACCATGTAGACACCCTGCTATACACCATGTACACACCCTGCTATACACCATGTACACACCCTGCTATACACCATGTAGACACACTGCTATACACCATGTACACACCCTGCTATACACCATGTAGACACCCTGCTATACACCATGTACACACCCTGCTATACACCATGTACACACCCTGCTATACACCATGTAGATACCTTGTAATACACCATGTACACACCCTGTTATACACCATGTAGACACCCTGCTATACACCATGTACACACCCTGCTATACACCATGTACACACCCTGCTATACACCATGTAGATACCTTGTAATACACCATGTACACACCCTGCTATACACCATGTAGATACCTTGTAATACACCATGTACACACCCTGCTATACACCATGTAGACACCCTGCTATATACCATGTAGATACCCTGTAATACACCACGTAGACACCCTGCTATACACCATGTAGATACCTTGTAATACACCATGTACACACCCTGCTATATACCATGTAGACACCCTGTAATACACCATGTAGACACCCTGCTATACACCATGTAAAGACCCTGCCATACATCATGTTGGTTGGTTGGTTGGTTTGTTGCTTAACGCCGCACTCAGCAATATTCCAGCTATATGACGGCGGTCTGTAAATAATCGAGTCTGTAACAGACAATCCAGTGATTAATATCATGAGCATCGATCCATGCAATTGGGATCGATGACATGCATCAACCAAGTCAGCGAGCCTGACCACCCGATCCCGTTAGTCGCCTCTTACGACAAGCATAGTCGCCTTTTACGGCAAGCATGGGTTGCTGAAGACCTATACTATCCCAGAATCTTCACGGAAACCATACATCATGTGAACATCCTGTTATACACCATGTAGACACACTGCTATATACCATGTAGACACCCTGTAATACACCATGTACACATTTTGCTATACATCATGTACACACCCTGCTATACATCATGTACACACCCTGTCATACACCATGTAGACACCCTGCTATACACCATGTACAGACCCTGCTATACACCATGTACACACCCTGCTATACACCATGTCCACACCCTGCTATACACCATGTACACACCCTGCTATACACCAAGTACACACCCTGCTATACACCATGTACACACCCTGGTATACACCATGTACACACCCTGCTATACACCATGTACACACCCTGCTATACACCATGTACACACCCTGCTATACACCATGTCCACACCCTACTATACACCATGTACACACCCTGTTATACACCATGTACACACCCTGCTATACACCATTTACACACCCTACTATACACCATGCACACACCATGCACACACCCTGCTATACACCATGTACAAATTTTGTCCAAACTGACGTTTAATTCTTATAATTTCATACTTTGTAGTTTACTGGTCTCGCCGAATAATATCGTAGAAATGTGTGCTTAAATTTTAAGTCCTCTGGTTTCGCCGAAGAACACTCCATCAATGTTATTTTGTCGCTATTTGCCGGCCCTCGGTCGCATACGTTTCGCCACTCATACTCAGTCACGCAAAGAAAAATAGTTCTTTGAATTTATAAAATATAATCTAGAAATATGTCAACATAATTTCATTCTCTGAACAAATTTACAAACAATATTTGGGATTAATCAAATCTTAGAAAAATAGGTAACAGGTAGTTGAGCAAAAATATAAACATGACCTCAATGCACCGAGGCGAGGTCAACCTTCAAGAGCGGATTTATAAATGACGTCACATAAGTTTGTTAAGAGGTCCATTTCGGTCGAACGGGAACATGAGGATGAAATGTATACTTACTGCTCTTGAAAATGACGTTATGGAGCAGTTATGAAAAACACCCCGACGCGTGAACTCCCTCATGACACTAGCAAATTGGGAATATTATCGATTTATGAATGTGTTGTTTGTGTTTGGGTAATCGCAAACCAATTCGGACGATGCGGAATGGACTGGTGGGGACTGAACCGACTGCTCTGAAACCGGAAGAGTAGATTTCTAATTCCGTCTACGGATATTTTCTCGTCTCCGATGACCAATAGATAAAACAGGTAGGCATGTTTTGTTTTGTTTTTAAAATTTAAGTTTCTTTCCTTAACTTTTTATGTTTTATGGTTTTTCAAAATCTTTGGGGTTTTTTCCGATACGATAGTAAATCGGGTTTTGTTATATTTTGTTTAAAGGCAAAATTCCTATTTACCGACGACCGTGACTTTCAATCGTTCGTGTCGTCCCGGTAATTTCCGTGTTTCGGTTTTCCCGTCATGCTGTTCCGCGTGAGCACTCCGTAAGGACGATAAAAGCGCAGTGCACGTGCGGTCCGCACTTTTCACTCCAAATCATTTTTTAAATCATTTTTTTCCAAATTTTCAGCTTTGTACACTCTTCCCATATGTCTCAGGTAATTTTGCATACAAAAGTTTCAGTAAGCATACTTTATATTTCTTGGCATGTAATTAAGCTTAGCTATTTTCATTATTAGTCAGCCATTTCACCTTGTTCAATTCATGTTTGTCTTTGTTTGACGCTCTGGTTGTTGGAGCTTATTGTTTTTAGGATCGGCCTTGTAGGCCAATTGATATGTACTAAACCTGTTTGTTTTTTATTCTTATTTCAACTTTTATACTTTTCGTGCATGTACTGTCTTGCGGCCTACACCTGAAATAACATGTACTGTTTGCGGCCAAATAAAGTTTTCATATAAACCATGTAATTTTGTCGTGGCTTGGTAAGGAGGATAATTAGTTTGGGATTGATCAGTAGCAGTCGCGTTTGCTCTGTGTCAGCGGCCACATCTGAGCAGGGTACTACATTGTTTTCATTGGTGCTAGATTCCTGTCATTTCCGAAAACAAGACATCAAAGTCACTATCACTCAATAAATCAATTTCGTTCACCTCAGTAATTTAACAGAATTAATTTTCTTCACTTGCGTTATTACTATTGAAAGATAGCCATTCCATATCCAAATCACCACAAGGACAATCATTTGTTTCATGTAGCAGCTGGGCGACATCAATCACCAGAACCAAAGCATTTATTTATTCATAAGTCAGATGAAATGTTACAAGACCAGGCAAAAATACTAAATTAATTATATTGCTGATAAATGCAAGTATTAAAAGTAAAATAGAAAAACCAGTTGATCGTAAACATCGATCGAGTTCCGGCAAAAGTTCACACGATCAATTTCACATACACACAAATTGTTCACATCGTGTGAACTGTTTTTGTCCGTTCACGGGGGTGTGAATTTCAATTATCAGATCACGTGACTACCCTTTCAGCCAATCAGCATGAAGAAACAGTGTATACACACCCTGCTATACATCATGTACACACCCTGCTATACACAATGTACACACCCTGCTATACACCATGTACACATCCTGCTATACACCATGTACACACCCTGTTATACACCCTGCTATACATGATGCACACACCCTGCTTTACACCATGTACACACCCCGCTTTTACACAATGTACACACCCTGCTATACATCATGTACACACCCTACTATACACCATGTACACACCCTGCTATACACCATGTACACACCCTGCTATACACCATGTACAAACCCTGCTATACACCATGTACACACCCTGCTATACACCAGGTACACACCCTGCTATACATCATGTACACACCCTACTATACATCAGGTACACACCCTGCTATACACCATGTACACACCCTGCTATATATCATGTACACACCCTGCTATACACCAGGTACACACCCTGCTATACACCATGTACAAACCCTGCTATACACAATGTCCACACCCTGCTATACATCATGTACACACCCTACTATACACCATGTACACACCCTGCTATACACCATGTACACACCCTACTATACACCATGTACACACCCTGCTATACACCAGGTACACATCCTGCTATACACCCTGCTATACATGATGCACACACCCTGCTTTACACCATGTACACACCCTACTATTCATCATGTACACACCTTACTATACACCATGTACACACCCTACTATTCATCATGTACACACCTTACTATACACCATGTACACACCCTGCTATACACCATGTACACACCCTGCTATACACCATGTACACACCCTACTATTCATCATGTACACACCTTACTATACACCATGTACACACCCTGCTATACACCATGTACACACCCCGCTATACACCATGTACACACCCTGCTATACACCATGTACACACCCTACTATACACCATGTACACACCCTGCTATACACCATGTACAAACCCTGCTATACACCATGTACACACCCTGCTATACACCAGGTACACACCCTGCTATACATCATGTACACACCCTACTGTACACCAGGTACACACCCTGCTATACACCATGTACACACCCTGCTATACATCATGTACACACCCTGCTATACACCAGGTACACACCCTGCTATACATCATGTACAAACCCTGCTATACACCATGTCCACACCCTGCTATACATCATGTACACACCCTACTATACACCATGTACACACCCTGCTATACACCATGTACACATCCTGCTATACACCATGTACACACCCTGCTATACACCAGGTACACATCCTGCTATACACCCTGCTATACATGATGCACACACCCTGCTTTACACCATGTACACACCCTACTATTCATCATGTACACACCTTACTATACACCATGTACACACCCTACTATTCATCATGTACACACCTTACTATACACCATGTACACACCCTGCTATACACCATGTACACCCCCTGCTATACACCATGTACACACCCTGCTATTCATCATGTACACACCTTACTATACACCATGTACACACCCTGCTATACACCATGTACACACCCTGCTATACATCATGTACACACCCTACTATACACCATGTACACACCCTGCTATACACCATGTACACACCCTGCTATACACCATGTACAAACCCTGCTACACACCA